TCTTGTGCGGTCCTACAGTGAAATTTTCCCTTTTACCAATTGAGCAATTTTTTTATTGTAGACAAATTTATATAATATATTTTAAACTAATTCCCATTTTGTCATTAAATCGTAAGTGTTAGATATGATTAGTTTTGATGATGTCAAATAATAGAGCAAAAAGTTTGCATAAATTGTTTACCTCATATTTTGACTAACTATCATATTTAATATCCTATGTAGTTTCCTTAAGAAAAGAAAGGAGTTATTATGTTGAACTTTTGAGTTGTGGAGAATGATCAAGAGGAAGAAGAAGAGAGATTAAGAAAAGAACTTGCAAGACAAATAGAAATATCAAGATTCAAGTTCACAGATTTGATATTAAAGGTTGCGATGCTCAATCAGAAGTTTGAATGGCTCAATCGGAAGATAAAATGCACAAACTGAAAGTTATATAATCATATATCGAGTCACCCTTCATATAAACATGGAAAATAAGCTTCAGAGGTGATTTTCATTGGCATTTATCGATCACTTGATCGATCATCCACTTATCGATCAAGTTATCGATAAAACACATACTTTGTTATGCTCTGTTCTTCGTTCAACTCTGACATAGGTTCGGTATTTCTCTAATATCTCTTAAACCACAAATTCGTTTGAGGTGAAACTTGATTCATATGAAACTAGACTCAGAACACGGTTCATGGACACCAAAATCAGCTTCAAAGAGTTTCATATGAGGGAGATATATTGTTCGAAACATTGTAGTAAGGATTAACGCCTTGATTCAGACCTTCAGTCACTGTGATGAAGATAACTTTGTAATTACAACGAATTTTGGGGTGATTCTTATTGCATTAGAAAGTAGACTCAAAGAGCTTTCTGGGGATAGGTCATTTGAAAATTTGGAGTTGAATTGGAAGAGTTATGATCACTCAAAGTTGACCTTCATTTTGTTTGAATCAGAATTCGAATTTATTAAGCCAAAGACTAGAAGTTCTACATTGATTGATTAAGCTCTCGAGCAACATGCTACTCAAACATGTTATTGAGTAAAAGCACTAGAAGAATTGAGGAAATGAAAAGCCATTATCAGATGTTACTCGAGCCTGATCAAGCAACTACATACTCGATCACTTTATCGAGTTCCTAGTACTATCTCTTCAATTCTTTTCTTTTATCTTCATATGTATTATTGAGGTTTTATAACCTGTTGGATAAATGGTTTTTGGATAACGTTATGGATAAATGTATTTATCGATCACTTGATCGATAAACAAGGTTAACGTTATGAATAAATAGACATTTATCGATAACATGATCGATAAATAGATTATTGATGAGAAGACAGATAAATGGTAATGTGTTCTACTCATTCTATGCTTTGCTTTAGTCTCCATTTATCGATCATTCATTTATCGATATATGATCGAACATTGCTTCATAACTCTGCATACAGGTAATTATTTCAGTAGCTTATCGATCACCTGATCGATCAGCAAATTATTGATCACATGATCGATAATTAGCACATCGCTTTTAAACCATGATTCTTCGATCACAGGATCGATAATCTCATTATCGATAATATGATCGATCACCGCACTTTATGTTTATCTTGTTTTCACATAACGTGATTTGATTTTATAGGATTAAACCTCTTTATCGATCACTTGATCAATCATTCATTAATCGATCATCTATTCGATTAACCTACATAGTCTGTGTTTTTCACTAAACATATTTTCACTCATTATTTATCGATAAAGTTATCCATTATCCATTTATCGATAAAGTATTCGATCAACACACTTTGAAAATATATTTCTCTTATACTTAGCTTTATCGATAATATGATCGATCAAAATCATTGTACCAGTTCATTTCATAACAGCATTTCACGATGATTTCGAAATATTTTATCTTCTTATCTTTAAACTTTTCTCAGCTTTCCTTTTACACATAACTCTCTATTGAAAGGATATGAAGGCAAATGTAACTTGAAAAAGTTTATTCTTGTATAAATCATTTAAAGCTCACTGCATTCATGTTTCATCAATTATTGATCACATGTTCGATCATCATATGATCCATAATCTATTCGATAATTGTATATATCGGCTATATCTTTTCTTCATGTAATTAATCGATAATATGATCGATCAAAGGATTATCGATCAAGACATCGATCAAGTAAGTTCATCTTACTTTCTGAATATCTGAATATCTGATGATTGATTCCATGTTTTCCAACTTATTGTTTCTAAGATTATCATATACTTATCACTTGATTTGAGGAAGATTATTTCAGATAAAGAGCGATAACGAATTTATGATGTGAAGAATCGACTTTTGTCAGAAGCTTCCAACGGCTAGTTTCAACGGTCATATTCTTCAAGCCAAACGGGAAGAAAATGCTTAACAGTCAAGTACCCAACATTATCTATAAATAGAAGAGCATTCAAAACAAGAAAAGAAGAAGAGTCTGAGCTTACAACATCAAATGCTAAAATGCCAAATCAATATATTCTCATTTAGAGCTCCAAGAGAAAACTCTCTGTCTCTATACTTCATAGACTAAAACTTATGCATCTGTAAGATAGAGAGGAAAGTTTCCCAAACGTGCTTAAGTAATATCTATCACTTCTTTGAGAGAAGAAATATTCAATCTTCATTATCATTATTAGATTGTATCCTTACGGTGAGTAAAGGGGAGTATTTACCTCGGTGTGAAGTTGCTATTGAATAGACTGATTAGTCTAAGAATTGTAAGTGGCGTCACAAGTGCCTGGATCAAACTTATGGTTGTAGTGGTTCTCAAGTACCTATGTTAAACTTGAAGGAGATAGTAGATTGAAAATCTCAGGAGGAGCCTGGGGACTGGACGTAGGTCGGTGAGGACCGAACCAGGATAAATTACAGTTTGCATCTTCTCTTCCCTTACCTCTTTATATTTCCAGCTAAACCATTTTACTACTGTGATTATGCTTATGTCAATTCATTATTTTTATACTCAGAATTTCTTATGAATTTAATTATATTGCGAAAAGGTTTTTGATTTTTATTAACACCCAATTCACCCTCCTCTTGGGTGATCAGCCATTCTAACAGTAAGGTGCAATTATCATTTAAGATTCATGATTCAAAAATTTCCCTCTCCCATTCATGGTTGGAAAAACACTAGAAGATGAGGATTCATCAAACCAAACTTTCAGGAATAGCTAGCCAATATTAAAAAGACTTGTAAAAAAAATTTAAAAAAACCACAACTCTTTCTCATCTACACTCTGTCTGTCCCTATTTTTCACGTGTTGGATAGAGCATAAACAAAGCCATATAAACAAAATCAATTTAAAGATCAATTTCTAAAAGAGTAAGCAAATTCAAATTTTCTTACATCAAATTTGAATTTTTTTACATCGCATTCCAATTTGCTCAAAAAAACTTGCATTTTAAAGAATTTGATCATCACATGAGCAAATTCAAATGTTATCCAACAAATATGAATATAATTCCACCAAATTCAAATTTGGTCTACCAAATTCTTGTGTGTTGCTCCATCACGACAGATCCTTTCTGGTAAGCGTGGGTTGTCTGTGTCACTAACTCTCAAGAGATGGGACCCATAGAAGAAAATTATAAACAAAGTGGATCCTTCATTCACGGCGCTAGCAACTTGAAGATTCCAACACAAGGATGGTGTGCTTCGGCTGAGACATAAGCCTGTTCTCTATTATGAACATACAGATTTTATGATCATATATACATGGATCAGCCAACACAATTGTTCTTGTTTTCAATAGCTCTTCTCCAATCCGTACCAGGTAATTGTAAATCACAAGTGGAAATTAAGACTAGCAAATTCCTTTTGCAGGTGTAACTTCAACAAAGTTCACAGTGGTTGACAAATGCAGCTACACAGTGTGGCCAGGCATTGCTTCAAGTGGTGACAATAATCCATTATCAGCCACCAGTTTTGTTCTTAAAACTGGTGAGTCTAGGATCATCTCTGTGCCAACTTCAAGGAATGGCCGCTTTTGGGGTTGAACTCAGTGCGCACAAGACTTCACTGGAAACTTCTCGTGTCACCGGTGACTGTGGCTCCGAGAAGCTGGAATGCAAAGGCAGGTGGTGTAGAAATTTCTGTTGGCCAATCCCAAGGGCTTGATATTTATGACGTGAGCTTGGTAGATGGGTTCAATGTGCCTGTAGCGGTTGTTCCTCATAGTGGTTGTGGAGAATGCAAGAGCACATATTGTCTGGCAGATATGATCAGCCTATGCCCTTCAGAACTGAGGGTAATGAGCAAAGATGGAAAAGTGGTGGCGTGCAGGGGCCCTTGTGCGGCAGATCGCTCATCATCATTGCAAGCTTGTGTCAACAACCCTTCCAAGCCCTCCTCTTCTGTAGAACTATTCAAGAGCGTTTGCCAACGTGCCTATAGCTACCCGCAAGATGATCAGCTAAGCATGTTCACATGTAAAGGTGCAGATTATAATATCACCTTTTGTGAATCACCCTACACAAATTTGGACACTTCTGGCTCCTCATCATGCACGGAAACCATCACAACATCTCATTACATCAAGGATCCAAATACAATAAGCTCCAAAGGGGGTTTGTTCACACTAGGGTTCTTCAATCCAAAAATTCCACAAATCGCCATGTGGGAATTTGGTACATGTCCAATTCAACTATTGTATGGGCAGCAAACAGAAATCGACCATTAAGGGATACTTCAGGAATTGTTAAGGTATCTGAAGATGGCAATCTTATAGTATTAGATGGGCAAAACCAAACCATTTGGTCATCAAATGTATCAAATATTTCATCTACTACTAGTTTTCAGATTTTAGATTCTGGAAACCTTGTCCTAACTGATAACTTGACGAAAACCATATGGCAAAGTTTTGAGTATCCTTCAGATACATTGTTGCCAAGCATGAAAATTACAAGCAACGAAAGAACAGGGGAGAAACAAAAGTTAACAGCATGGAAGAATCAGTCTGATCAACAGCATGGAAAATCAGTCTGATCCATCCCTTGGCAATTTTTCTATGAGCCTAGAACAACTAAATTTTGCAGAACTGTTCATATGGAATGGAACTAGCCCCTCTTGGCGTAGTGGTCCACAGAATGGCCAAGGCCTTGCAACAGTCCTCAGGATGAGTTCCGAGTATGATAATGGTGCTGAAGAGATGGTTGTTAGCTTATCAAATGGGTCTGATATCAAAGAGATGGTTGTTTTGAATGCAAAAGGAAAGTTATTACATAAACAATGGGATGATAGAGGAGATGGCTAGAAACAAATATTGTTCAAAATTCAGATTGTCATGTCTATGGTATATGTGGGGAATTCAGAATTTGCAATTCAAAGAGCGCACCAATCTGCAGTTGTTTGAGTGGGTTTGAACCAAGAAATAATGAGGAATGGAATAGACAAAATTGGACAGGTGGTTGTGTTGGGAAATCAACTCTGTGATGTGAGAAAATGAAAAATGGGAGTTTCGATGGAAAGGAAGATACCTTTTTCCATCTGCAAAATGTTAAAGCACCAAACTTTGGAGAACAATCATCTCATTAAGAAGATGAATGTAGAATCCAGTGCTCGGAGAACTGCACTTGTAAAGCATATTCATATAATTCAGTGCTTGGCTGTATGACTTGGAAAGAAAATCTAATTGACATACAACAGTTCTCAGATGCAGGAATTGACCTATATATTCGTGCAGACTTTGGTATCTAAATTTTCTTTTAACTCTATTTTTTGGCATGAATTTCCTTAACTTTTTCTTTCATCACAGATAAGAAGAGACATAGGACATACATCATTATCATTGTTGTAGTAATAGGAACTATCATTATCGGTGTCAATTGTGCATGCTTCTTATGGAAATGGAAGGCAAAACATTCAGGTATTATTCCTTTTCATATCATCTTAGTTTCAAATCCTACCACATCTATTAGCTTTAACATGACATAGGCATTCAGGATTTAAATATATAAGGCATTTTCAAAAGCAATATTCATATGAGTAGATGTCTTTTGGATAGTTATGTTTCCACATTTTTCAAATGAAGCATTTCCATCTCTTTATCTCTGTAAATACATTAAATTCATATGACCAGCAGGAAAACGGAATAGCAAACAGACCTCATTAAAAAGGGATGGTGCAAATGTAGGCAAAACAAGCGGCAATATTATTGGAAAATTGTCACAAGTTAAATTCCAGGAGTTATTGGTCTATGATTTTGAAAAGGTTGCAATGGCTACAAACAACTTTCAATTCACCAATAAACTTGGGCAAGGCGATTTTGGTCCTGTCTACAAGGTATTTAATTTCATGAATTATTAGTCAGTTTAATTGGCAAAAAAAAATCCGTTTAATTCAAATTCATTATGTATAACAACTGTTTAATGGGATTTTCTTCAAGGGAACACTCCAAGATGGTCAGGATATAGCAGTTAAGAGATTATCTAGAGCATCTGGACAAGGACAAGAGGAATTCATGAATGAGATGATTGTCATTTCCAGGCTTCAACATCGTAATCTCATAAAACTTTTAGGTTGCTGTATTGAAGGAGAAGAAAAGATGTTGATCTATGAATACATGCCAAATAAAAGTTTGGATGCATTTAACTTTGGTTGGTTTTTCTGATCCCTTATGCTCTAGCTCTTTCTAGTCATATGCATAATTAAGGGAACAAGACAACATTTGTTTGTAATAGTCTTTCTTACAGATATTTGAGTTTTCTTTATGGTATGGACAAAACTTATATAACCCTCTCCTCTACTATTGTAGATCCAGAGAAAAAGCAAACTTCTAGACTAGGGAAAGCGCTTTGTCATTATTGAAGAAGTAGCTAGAGGAGTACTTTATCTTCATAGGGACTCTAGACTTATACATAGGGACCTAAAGGCAAGTAATATCTTGCTAGATGAGAACTTGATTCCAAAAATATCAGATTTTGGTATGGCTAGAATTTTCAAAAGAAGTGAAGATCAAGCTAACACAAGAAGAGTTGTTGGAACCTAGTAAGTTTTCCTTCCCTACCTAATATTATAGCAGCATACTAAGTAGTGAGTACTCTAACAATTATTTGTTTCACTTAAAATGTAGTGGCTATATGTCTCCAGAATATGCTATCAAAGGATTATTTTCAGAGAAATCAGATGTGTTTCGCTTTGGAGTTTTACTATTAGAGATTATAAGTGGAAGAAGAAACTCAAGCTTTTCTAATAATGAGCACTCTCCTAGCCTTCTGGGATTTGTAAGTCTCTACTTTTTATTAACTTCCTAAATACCTAATTAGAAAGTTCTATTATTAATTATTGATTTTACTCTTAGCTCTAAGGCTTCTAAAGGTAATAATTATATATGATTCTTTTGTTATGTGTTTTAGGCATGGAAATTATGGAATGAAGGAAACATTGTAAAGCTAATAGACCCAGAAACATCTAATCAAAACCAGGAGAAGGATATATTAGGGTGCATACACATAGGACTTCTATGTGTACAAGACCTTGCAATAGAGAGGCCAAGTATGAGCACTGTAGTTTCTATGCTTAACAGTGAGATTGTCAATCTTCCTCCTCCAAGGCAACCTGCGTTCATCCAATGGCAGAGTATATTGAATCAATTGACCCCAGAAGAGAATCAAAGATTATTTTCTAACAACGAAGTTAGTATTAGTGACATACACGGCAGATAGCAACATTACCAATCTATGAGTAAAATAACATAGTTTTGATAAATAACTTCCCAGTTGTTATAATCTTGGTGGTGTGATATATCTAGTGCGATGCATGTGCTTTCCCTATCTTTTGTGTTCAATTTCTGTTTTTCAGATAAGGATTCCATCTGAAATCATGGTACGAATTGTAACATTTAGCAATTTTAAATCCATTCAGGTTTTACTCAGAAGTTTCTCTAACATTATCTCAATAATGAAACAGAACTGGTCAACCACATCCAGTCCCGCAATTGTGAGATGAGTGCTCAATTTATTGTTCCCTTAAAATCAGTTACTTAAAATTACTCATAAAAGTCCTACCAAACTTCATAATTTCAGAGCAAGCTCCACCAGAGTTTACTCCAGTTCTAGTTCTTTTCTGCTGTTTTTGGGGAAGGATTTTAATTGAAAGCATGCTGTGAATTGTAATATTAATGATTTGAAACTCGTAAGGTTACCAAAAGAAATAAAAGATATATTCCTCAACGGATGTTTCCCCAAGAAAACTAATGTTGCAGTTGTAGATGATCATATTATACTTATGATCCTTATGCTATGCATGATTGTTTTAGATTATTACAATAATGAAATATCAAAATCTTGAGGGGGAGTGTGACAAGTTGGGCATGATTAACATCTATACTCCAACTTGAGGGGGAGTGTAGAGATATGATATGATATTATGTAAATATTATGTAATTATGATTAGGATTTGATATGATATGATATTATCATAATGAGCCATTAATGCAAAGGCTCCCCTCACTTGTATATATATATGCATATTTTGATCAATGAAATACAAGGAATTATTTTCCATATTGTTCTCCACTCAACAATACTTATAATAAGAACCAGAGGAGGTAATAAATTTCTTAACTTTTTCTCTCTTCATGCTTCAAAAGCTATAAGTCATAAGCCGTAAGTCATAAGTAGTTAATTTTTACTTATAGCTTATTGTAGCTTTTCATACAAAAGTCAGATTGCTCAATCGCCCACCCAAACACTACACATTCTTTAAATGGGCTTATGCTTGAAAAAAAGCAGCTTATTGCCCTCCAAATGCTGAGGCAAACAGGCTCATATTCAATCATTATTGTATAGTCGTCCCCAAGACCTTAAGAAAATTTCGGGTTTTTTCGACCAAACACCTCAAAATTATCTTTGTTTTCCTTATGGCAACGCTCTTGTTCATGGTAAAGGGGCATACCTTTATAAGCTGGAATATCATTAAGAACTCCAAACTTCCATCAAAGAATTCTCTTCTCCTCTGTTCTCAATTTCAGACGAAAATAGACCTTTTTGTAGTAGTGAAAAGCCAATGCCAGAGCACTATTGTACCACCTAACTCTAGAGACTTAATATTAGTGTTGTTTACTAACATAGAACCACTTTTTAAATTATAAAATGCCCAAAAATCTAAACGGTTTAAAACTTTTCTTTAAAACATCTTAGGGTACTTTTCAAGAATGAGATTTTTCAAAAAACATTGTAAGTCCAAATCTTGTTTTGAAACCAAGTTAGTGGTTCAATTTCTATAGTAAATTCCTGATTAAATTCTATGACATATTACAAAACCCAGGTTCAAATTAAACTTCATTTGAACCAGTACTCACTCTATATAACTATTCTATAACCATATTTAACCTGTTACGATCTACAATGTTTAATGCATTCGCTACCCTGATTTCCAACCCGCTTAATTGAACATCCATAATCATAATTATAATAAAAGTTAAGAACTAATATCATACACTTATATAGAGGCCATCTTCAATGATGGCACTTACCTGTATACCGGTTGTCTTCACCCACACATTTATGCTAAATACAAGTATCTAACATAAGCCCAAAAGATATATATACAACTTCCATGTATAATAAAGTTATCTAGAGAATGTCCTCACTCTTGCTTCATTTAGTAACCTTTCACTTTATAAGTTTCACATTTCTTCTTCTTTTGGCTCCCATAGGCCGAACTCCACACACACACATTTATGAAACTTCATAACCATTGCTTCTAAACTTGAACACTTTAATCTTAAATCAATTCTTATCATTTAAACTCTTACAATTATTTGCACACCGGATCACTTTCAACGACTCTAAATCTATTAACTCTCTAATCTTTTAGCCACCTATCTAAGTTATCCTTATAAAAAGCAATTAAAACTCCCTTAAGCCAATAAATCGAGCTTCAAAATTCTATCCAACAACATTAGGTATCTTATTATAATTTCACTTGTGTTCATATCTCCATCCTAAACTTTTTTTCCCCCCTCCCTTTTTGATGAACACCATCCTAAACTTCAATTCCAACTAAAAGTTACTAACTTTTAATTCAATATCAATCCATAAAATTTTCAGCTCAAGAAGAGTGTTTAATCATCATTCTAAATTCTTCAACTAAGATCTATATAGTTAAGTCACTCATTTATTCTAAGTGGCCTCAAACAGTAAGACTTACAGTTTCCGCAAGTTCCAGCTTTTATAGTTTTTTTTTTTTTTAATAATTACATGATGGGGTCATGAATTCACTCAATACTTAATTCTCCCTATTCAACTAGATTACAATATTCTTTTAGTCTTAAAGTTCTTAAATTACATCCTGTTAAAAACAGGACAGCAACTTCCAAGCACCTTAAACTTCAATTTTCGAACTCACCATGCCTTTCTAACATTAAACTAACAATAACAATCTTATCATTCAATTTCCCTTGTTTTTAATCCAATTTAACACCTTACCAAAATCAAACAATCCCAACTTCACAACATTAATTTAATCATCACTTACTTGTATGTCCCTAAACAAATTTTACGATCTAAAATAACTTCTTGACAATCTAATACCAACATTGCACTACAAAGTAGGTCTTATATTAAGGCATATTAAGGACCAGAGGGAGTACATACATAAAGTTTTGCTCTTTCTAATTACATGAACCGAAACCACACACACAAATATATAGCTATGTATGTATGTTCTTATATCATTTAAACACCAATAATTTCCGCTTCCAAAAGTCCTATTACAATCCACACTCATTACATTACTTATATCCATATGTATACTCTATTTTGCCTCTTCCTTTCTATTCTTTCCCAACTCCTTTATACTTTAAAACACCTAAGCTTTTGTTCTTATCCAAACTTGAAACCATATTGCCCTTAGAACAGCAACCTAATTTAATTCTAATCTTAACCGTATTATTAATCATAAAACTGAATATATGTATCGCCTCATTTCTCTCCAATCTTGTTAGAACCCGACACCCCAACACGAGAAAAACACGGGCCCCCTTTCGACAGTCTTGAAACAGAGAGAATCAAACACATGCAACAGCAAATAATACACCAACAAGCTTCACTCTACGCTCTCCCATTCCTTACGCAAAAATAGACAGCATGTTCACCCACGAAGACCGGTTTTTCTTCGATATTTTCCTAAACAAACAGCACCCAACGAAGATGAAGGAGGAATTGAGGGACTCACCTTGACCGGATATCACAATTGCATGCAAGATCCTCATTCTTTGTTGGCCATCCTTCGCCGTAGGTCTTCCTCTGGTTTTCTCGCGGTTCTCTCTCAACTCTCTCTGGTCACAGGTGAAGAATGAGGAGGGCAGAGGTGACTCATCGAACAGTGGGAAGAGAGGGCAGCACGTGTGACATTTGTGGGCAACATTTCTGGAATATTTTGCCTCAAGGTTCCAAAAAGGGATCAGAGATTAAACCGATTTTTTTATTTTTAATATAAGAACTAATTGATTGAGTAATTTAAATAGATTAAAAAAATTAGTTAAGTTAAATTTTGTTTGGTTCAGTAGAGGGGAGTTAATTAAAAGAAGAGAAGAAGAGGGAAGGGAGGTGATGGGTTTTGTTTGGTTAGAGGGGAGAGGAGGTGAAGAGAGATTTCTTGTTTGGTCTATAAGAGGAGAGGAGGAAAGGTAATTATAAATTGACAAATATATCCTTATCTCTATATTTAGACTACTTTATTCTTTTATTACAATATTTATATCAAAATTATTATTTCTTAATTTATCAATTTCAAAAAACAAATTACCTCACTTACATGTGATAAAAAAATTATGATAAAACTAAAAAAATTAGAAAATATGATAAAAAGTTTAACATTTTATCTCATTAATTTTATAATTATAATACACACGCATGTGTATTAATATATATGATATTTATATATTATATAATTATAATACACACACGTTATGATATGTATATATTAATATATATATATATATATGCATATGTGTAGCCTATCTGAGATTAATATATATGTATGTTTGCAGTCCATCTGAGATTATAATACACACGCTATAATATATAATTATAATACGCACACGTTATGATATGTATATATTAATATATATGATATGTATATATTATATAATTATAATATACCACCCTCTATTAATATATACTTGTCATATTATATTACAAAAAAAAATTACTACCACGATAGAAATATTATATTATCATTGTCAAATATCATTAGTGGTTAAAAAGAGAAAGAAGTGAGAAAAGGGGTTCTAATAAGAGGGACAAACTTAGAATATTGAAAAGCTAGTATGGATAGTTTAGTCAATATTAGACATAATATTTCTCTCCCTTCCAAAAAAATCTCAAATTTGGAGGGAAGCAGAAAGAAGGGAGGGGAGCACTAAGGGCCTGTTTGGTTTGAGGGGAGGGTGGGAGAGGTTTTATCCTTACCTTCTTTTGTTTGATTAAAAAGGAAGGGAGAGATGGATATTTAATGATTCCTTATTTGGTTCAAGAGGGGGAGGAGAGGGATAGTAATAATCCATTTACTATTTTATCCTTACATTTTAGTTTATATTTTTTATCGATATATTATATAAGTTAATTTACATCTTAATTTAAATCATATAATTTAATAAAAATTTAGTCTTATCATATTAATATGTGCATTAAAAAATTGGTACAGTATTTTTTTAATTCTAATTAATATAATAATATATTTAAAATAATCAAATTAACAAATTTTATACGCTCTAAAAAAGTTGAAATTTTATTCTCTTTAGGCCATGCTTTTTTTTCAGCTTTAAAATATATTTAATAAATAATATATTTATAAAAAAAATTAATTCTAT